TTCCTACTCCCATCCCAATTCTGCCCAAGGGCCTCACCTCCAACGACAATAATCACCAAGAGTTTATAAAGAGAAGGGAAGACATGATTCCTGGCATTTCAAAGTGGAACACAAATACTTCAAGCATGAAAACAGACCAGAAACCCTGGTGATGTTCTACAGCAGGGCTGTCCAATGACACTTTCTGCATATGTCCTGTATCTGCACTGTGTAATACAGTAGAGCCACTAGCCACTCACAGCCACTGAGAACTTGAAATATGGCTAAATTGGTGAATTTTTAAACTAATATAAATTTAAACAGCCATCTAAGCTAGGGGCTACAGTACTCAACAGTGCAGCTTAGAGTACTATGTAACTATCAGGCACATGGAAGACAAATACTTTGTGGTCTAACCTTAAAACACTATTAATATGCATTAGATGAGAAATAAACCTTCCACAGAAACATCAATTTACAAGCGTTTAGAAAATAATTTGTCACTACATAGGAACTGTCAAAAAGCTAAAAGAACAGATATTTGGCTAGGCACAGTAACTCATGCCTGTATCCCAGCACTTTGGGAGGCCGAGGTGGGCAGATCACTTGAGGTCAGGAGTTTGTGAGAACAACCTGACTAATATGGTACAACCAAATCCCTGTCTCTACTAAAAGAACAAAAATTAGCCAGGCATGGTGGTGGGCACCTGTAATCCCAGCTACTCTTGGGAGGCTGAGGCAGGATAATCGCTTGAACCCAGGAGGCAGAGACTACAGTGAACCAAGATTGTGCCACTGCACTCTAGCCTGGGGGACAAAGAGACAGACAGACAGACAGACAGACAGTCAGTCAGTCAGTCAGTCAGTCAGTCAGTCAGTCAATCAGTCAGTCTACTTCCACAGAGTATTTCCTTAAACAAGAGTTTATTGGAGGCATGAAGTCTGGAGGTGCTTAACTACAGACTTTTACAGAATGTAAAAGAAGTGTCATACATATTCTGAAGCTCTTGCACATGCCACGCCGTTATCAATATGGCTCACATCTACTTTTATAACTCTGCCAAACACATTCAAAGGCAATTTAACTTCCAAGTTTAAGTGTTCTAGCACAAGTCCAACATCTCTTCAGAGTTGACAGTAAGCTTGGCTAATGTTAGAAACCAAAGTCTTCAGTAAGTCAGCCATATCTGCATGGACAAAGCAGTCCTGAGTGCTGCTAAATTATCTGAGAAAACTTTTCAACACTCATGTCTTACCAAGTCTGTTTCATTCAGAACATTCCATATACATCTTTAGCAAAGCTCTTAAAACAGTGTATTTATTAAATTTCACATTTTTTTTTTTGAGATAGAGTCTCATTCTGTTGCCCAGGCTGGAGTGCAATGGTGTGATCTTGGCTCACTGCAACCTCCACCTCCTGGGTTCAGGTGATTCTTCTGCCTCAGCCTCCCGAGTAGCTGGGACTACAGGCACATGCCACCAGGTCCGGCTAATTTTGTTGTGTTTTTAGTAGAGACAGGGTTTCACCATGTTGGCCAGGCTGGTCTCAAACTCCTGATGTCGTGATTCACCTGACTCGGCCTCCCAAAGTGCTGGGATTACAGGGGTGAGCCACCACGCCCGGCCCAATTTCACATCTTTAATTCTTCTCTTAGTATCAACCTTAGCACTAAACACAGTACCCTTTGCTTAGGAGATACTCAATAATTTGTTCTATAATTCATCAAGGTACTAGACAAGAAGTCTTAAGAATTCATCAAAGCCAGGTGTGGAGGTTCATGCTTGTAATCCCAGCACTTTGGGAGGCCGAGGTGGGCACATTACCTGAGGTCAGAAGTTTGAGATCAGCCTGGCCATTATGGTGAAACCCTGTCTCTACTAAAAATACAAAAATTAGCTGGGCATCGTGGCGGATGCCTGTAATTACAGCTACCCAGGAGGCTGAGGCAGGATAATCGCTTGAAACTGGGATGTGGAGGTTGCAGTGAGCTGGGATCATGCCACTGAACTCCATCTGGGCGAAAGAGTAAGACTATGTCTTAAAAAAAAAAAAAGAATTCATTAAAATGTTACATTTGGCTGGACAAGGTAGCTGACACGTGTAATCCCAGCATTTGGGAAGGCCAAGGTGGGTGGATCATTTGAGCTCAGGAGTTTGAGATCAGCCTGGTAATATGGCAAAAACCTATAGCCACAAAAGAAAAAAAATAGCCGGGTGTGGTGGTGCATGCCTGTAGTCCCAGCTACTCAAGAGGCTGATGGGGGAAGATCGCTGGAGCCAGGAGACTGAGGCTGCAGTGAGTCAATGATGACACCACTGTATTCCCAACCTGGGTGACAGAGCAAGACTCTGTCTCAAGAAGAAAAAAGCCAGGAGTAGGGGCTCATGCCTATAATCCCAGCACTTTGGGAGGCCGAGGCAGGTGGATCACAAGGTCAGGAGTTCAAGATCAGCCTAGTCAATAAGATGAAATCCCATTTCTACTAAAAATGCAAAAATTAGCCAGCCATGGTGGCAGCACCTATAGTCCCTGCTACTCGGGAGGTTGAGGCAAGAGAATCACTTTAACCTAGGAGGCAGAGGCTGCAGTGAGCCAAGATTGTGCCATTGCACTCCAGCCGAGGTGAGAGAGAGACCCTCCATCTCAAAAAAAAAAAAAAAAAAAAAAAAGAAAAGATCATATAACTCTATATGGCATACACTCTGCATGGCATTCAAATTCATGCACTTAAATAATTATATTTCTTTTGCTTTTTTTGAGATGGGGGGGATCTCATTCAGTTGCTCAGGTTATACTCCAGCCTGGGGCGATGGAATGAAACCCCATTTCTATTAGAAACAAAAAGTGGCCAGGCGCAGTGGTTCGTGCCTGTAATCCCAGCACTTTGGGAGGTCAAGGCGGGAGGACTACTTGAGATCCTGGGTTCGATCACGGCTCACTGCAGCCTCAAACTCCTGAGCTCAAGTCATCCTCCTGCCTCAGCCTCCTGAGTAGCTGGGACTGCAGATGTGTGCCACCACAACTGGCTAATTTAAACACATTTTGTACAGATGAGGCTCACTTTGCTGCCCAGGCTGGTCTCAAACTCCTGGCTTTAAGGAATATTCATTCCTACCTCAGTCTCCCAAAGTGCTGAGAATGCAGGTAGGAGCCAGTTAGCCTAACCTACATAATTCTATCACTATACTTCTTATGTCAATCATCACATCACATTCTATATCTGATCTTTCATGTTCTCAATTGGATACAAATCCACAAAAGCTCACTTATTCTTTCCTATAATTGCTGATTATGTATTATGATGAATTTCATAGTAATTAAGCCCATTTTAACACAACCTTCAAAAAAAAAAATAATTAACCAACAGATCTAACAACATCTATAGAAGACACTACCCAACAACAGCAGAATAAAAATCTATCTCAAGCGCAGAGGAGAACATTCTCCAGGACAAACCAGATGGTAGGCCATAAAATAAGCCCCAATAAATCTGAAAGGATTGAAGTCATACAAAGTATGTTCTACAACCACAATGAAAACAGAAATTGACCAAGTGCAGGGACTCACGCCTATAATCTCAGCACTTTGGGAGGCCGAGGCAGGCAGATTGCCTGAACTCAGGAGTTCGCAACCAGCCTGGGCAACACAGTGAAACTCCATCTGTACTAAAATACAAAAAATTAGCCAGGCGTGATGGTGTGTACCTGTACGTAGTCCCAGCTACTTGGGAGACTGAAGCAAGAGAACTGCTTGAACCTGCGAGGTGGAGGTTTGATCCATGCCAAGTAAGCCAAGATCGCACCACTGCACTCTAGCCTGGGTGGGGGGCAGAGCAAGACTCTGTCTCAGATAAAAAAAACTACCTGGGCCTGGTGGCATGCACCTGTAATCCCAGCTACTCAGGAGGCTAAGGCAAGAGAATCTCCTGAACGCAGGAGGGGGAGGCTGCAGTGAGCTGAGATTGCACCGCTGCATTTTAGCCTGGGCGACAGAGCAAGACTCCGTCTCAAAAAAAAAAAAGACTAGCTGAAGCATGAACTTCCACTGATTGCCTTGCACATAGACATTTGTAGCCTATATAACATAATCTGTTCTCCAGGTGGATAGTGTCAGAATTTAAATAATTAAAAAAAAAAGAAATCTGTAACCAACGATACCATCCAATGCAAAAAAGATACCTCTGGCATGAGGAGTCCCCTCCCTTCTTTTAAACTTTCCCATAAAAACCTTTCACAGGCCAGGCTAGGTGGCTCACACTTGTAATATGTAATCCCAGCACTCTAGGAGGCAAAGGCAGGAGGGATCGCTTGAGCCCAGAAATTTGAGACAAGCCTGGGCAACATAGTGAGACTCAATCCCTACCCCTCCCTCAAAAAAAAAAAAAAAAAAACCCCACATAGTCGGGCATGGTGGCAGACACCTGTAGTTCCTGATATGAAGAGATTAGGGTGGGAGGATCAATTGAACCTGGAATGTTGAGGCTGCACTGAGCCATAATTGAACCACTGCACTCCAGCCTGGGTAACAGAGCTAGACCCCGTCTCAAAAAATAAAGAAAGCCCTTCACAGCTGGGCCCAGTGACTCACATCTATAATCCCAGCTACTTGGGAGGCTGAGGTGGGAGGATCACTTGAGACTAGCCTGGGCAACATAGTAAGACCCCCCCCCCACAAAAAAAATTAAAAGTTATGTTTTTTAATATAATATAGGGTATGGTGGTGTACATCTGTAGTCCTAGCTACTCAAGAGGCTGAGGTGAGATGATCACTTGAGCCCAGGATTTCAAGGCTGCAGTGAGCTATGGTGAGCTGTACTCCAATCAGGGGCAACAAAATGAGACCCCATTTCTATTAGAAACAAGTGGCCAGGTACAGTGGTTCATGCCTGTAATCCCAGCACTTTGGGAGGTAAAGGTGGGAGGACTGCTTGAGACAATGTGCTTGAGACCAGCCTGGGCAACATGGCGAGATCTTGTTTCTACAAAATATAAAAAGTCAGCTGGGCATGGTGGTGCTTACCTGTAGTCCCAGAAATTCAGGAGGCTGAGATGGGTGAATCACTTGAGCCTAGGAAGTTGAGGCTGCATTCCGGCCCAGCCAATAGTGCAAGACCCTATCTCAAAAAAAAAAAAAAAAATTTAAAAAGGCCAGGTGTGGTGGCTCATGCCTGTAATCCCAGCACTTTGGGAGACCAAGGCAGGTGGATCACTTGAGGTCAGGAGTTCTAGACCAGCCTGGCCAACATGGTGAAACTCTGTCTCTACTAAAAATACAAAAATTAGCCAGGTGTAGTGGCACATGTCCATAGTCTCAGCTACTAGGGAGGCTGAGGTGGGAGAATTGCTTGAACCTGGGAGGTAGAGAATGCACTGAGCCAAGATCACACCACTGCACTCTAGTGTGGGTGAAAGCGAGCAAGACTCTAAAAAAGAAAACCCTCAAAGAAACAAACAGCAAAACAAAAAAATCTTTCACCTTCTGGCAGACTTCAGAAAAACCCCCAGGTCTGCTGGTGTGTCTTCCCAGGTCGATTCTCATTTGCCAGGCTTTCCAATAAACCTTTATGAAATTACTTCTACCTCAACAGCCTTAATTTCTGTTGACAATATAAAACCCAAACCCAGGCCAGGTGCAATGGCTCACGCCTGTAATCCCAGCACTATGGGAGGCCGAGGCAGGTGGGTCACCTGAGGACAGGAGTTCGAGACCAACCTGGCCAACATGGTGAAACCCTGTCTCTAATAAAAATACAAAAATTAGCTGGGTGTGGTGGCTTGCTACTTGGGAGGGTGAGGCAGGAGAATCACCTGAATCTGGAGGGCGGAGGTTGCCGTGACCAGATATCTCGCCACTGCATTCCAGTCTGGGCAACAGTGTGAGACTCCGTCTCAAAAAACAAACCCAAACCCAAACGCAGAAGCAAGTTATACAAGATTAATTTTTCATTAGGTTACCTGAGGATATGCAGGTGAGAGGCATGTCCTTTTTGCCAGGCCTTTAATATCTTAACAGGGAAGGGATGAAGTGAGGGAAATACATACAGAAACTTCACACATGAATATACAACACTAACAAACTCATAGCTAAATATGAAAATTACTACTAAAAAGTGTAAAGGTAACAACTGTTCAGGCAGATAACAGGACTCTAAGCAAATACAGTGTGACTTTCCAAGTTTATGAACAACTCGAGTATTAGGTCTTCTCCATCAGTAACCTAAATACAGAAGGAGACCAACCAATTAATTAAGGGAAGGCTTGCAGGGTCTACCAGTTCTCACTTCTGGCATTAAATGAGGCCATTAGTTACAAATTCACTGGGATATATGACATAGACTACTTTAGCAAAAAGTTTTGGAAAATTCACACAAATCTCAGGTTCACGATCTGTTCTGACTTAGTTTTAATATTTTGAGAAAAGTCTTAATCACTATATTTTCTCTAAGAGCCTGACACAGAAATCCTGAGCTACCACCATTTTCTAAAGAGGCGCACTTAACAGAAACCTTATTCTTCTCTCTAAAGATGAAAAGTACCTGCTTACTTTCATTATAAAATTTTGAATATGGATGCATTATGTTTCATTGTATCCAGGAACTGTAATAGAAGTAACTATGGCTATATGCATTAAATGTTTTTGTCTGAAAAGTTATAGAAAACCTGAATAGTGATTTTTTTTGGGAAGAGGGTTTGGCATATAAATTTTCTAATAATGACTGAGACATTTATTTATTTGCTTATTTAATTTCAAAATTGTTATCTGGGCATCACGAGGGAATATGACCAAGCTTCTTTTACATGTTTTCTATTAAATGATTCTAATAAAAATTTTAAAAGAATTAAATTAAAAAGACATTTGATTTCAGCTTTGCACAGTGGCAGTATTATAGCCCATGAGGTTTATCCAAGGTGTGATTATTGCTAACTGAAAACTTTTCCCAATACCCCACCATGACAACTTGAAAGATAGTTGGCATTGGCAATTTTTGACAGTCTCTATGGAGACTCAATTAAAAAAAAAAAAAAGACACTTGATTTCTCATTTAAAAAAAAAAAAACAGGGTCACACTATCACACAGGCTGGAGTACAGTGGGGCAAACATAGCTCACTGTAGCCTCCATCTCCTGGGCTCAAGCAACCTTCCCACCTTAGCCTCCCAAGCAGCTGGGACTACAGGCTTGCACCACCAAACCTGACTAATTCTTTTTTTAATCTTTAGTAGAGACAAGGTCTGGCTATATTGCCCAGGCTGGTCTTGAACTCCTTGGCTCATGTGGTCCTCCCACTTTAGCCTCCCAAAGTGCTAGAATTACAGGTTACCTCCCCTGGTCACTTGATTTCTTAATGCATGACAAATAGCTAAAACACATTATTAATTTCAGATCATTGTTTTTAAATTATATTTTTTCAATGGCAAACATTTTATAAAAATTAATACATAATAAATGCAGGACAGCCAAGGAAGGAGAAACAGATACATGAACCTCTGGAAAACTGTAATTTGTCTGCATCAGTAATTTTAATACAATGTGGAAACTGACCTAAGTCAAAAAGTAAGTACACAAGAAAGCATATAACATTACTTTTACATCCCATGTGGGGAAAAGATAATTGAGATATAACTAGAAATCTAGATAACAAGACCAGTTTTAGGTCTAATCTGTTTATCCATAGAGAAAATAGCTGAACATGTTATGTTTTTAGTTTATCATCTTAGATTATCAAAACATCTATGTAATAGCCTTGTACAATGTGGAAGATGATGTACTGCTTACACCAAGAAGAATTTTAATATAAAAGGAGTTTGCTATGAAGCTGTGCAAAGTGATTTTTTTTCCCTTACAAGAAAGCAAAACAGGCCCTAAAATATTTGTTGACTTGCAAACTGACATCTAGAAACTACTGTAGTGTTTTGTTATTTACTGCCTTTTCTGATTACGAAACTAATATAAGCTTGTAGTAAGAAATTTCCATTACAGAAATGCACACTAGAGAAAGTTAAGTTCTCCATTATCACTTCATCTAGAGAAAACCAACTGTTACCCAAGATCACACCCTTCTTTTTTCTTTGTATTTCAGTATGTTTGAGTGAGCATGTTTCATTAGGTTCCAATATTTTTTCTCAAAAGCTCTCAGCAGAGCTTCCTGGGTTTAAAGCTAAACATCTGCAGCATAAACTAAACAAAGACTGGTTTGTCTGTCTTCCCATCTTGTTCCAAGCATGAGTTAGGATGTATGGTCTCCCTCTAGAAGATATTCATCTAGTTTAAACAAGACAAATTAAATTATAAATACATGCCAGACTTCTCTACTATCATAATTACTTATTAATTTAACCTGACAAAGCTATAAAAAAAAAACAACAAATTAACCACCTAAAAGAACAGCACAAAATAAAACGTGTTTCTGAAAAACTGTGCCAAGCATCTTACATGCTGAAGAAAAGATGTTTAATCATCTCACAAATCTGGTTAACATAGTCCTGTAAAACACTGTCAAACTTCTAAATAATGTCCTATTGTTAAAAGAGACCAGAAAATGAAGCAAACCTTAGCACTGCTAATATTATGTATTCTGGCTAGGGATTATGGGCCATTGTCATTTAAAGTTATCTTAAGTAGGTAAGCATTTGTTGAGCCATTCAGACAATAGGACAATACATATATCAAAACTCCCTTGAAATTTTTAACTAAATTATTAACAGAAACAAGTGAAATATACAGCAATAGCAAATAGTTAAGTCAATTACAGAACATTACCTTGATATGTTATATAACCACCGAAAATAAACTAATATGAAAAATGGTAAAATATTTTAAATCCCCTGCAATTTGAGGATATAAAAACGTATACATAATGATAAAGCTTCAAAGAGACCTGAAACAGTAAAAATACTGGAATGGAGGGACTTATGCAGAATTTTTAGTTTCCTATCTATTAGTGTATACTAAGGTAATTTTAAATTTTAACGTGAAATGGAAATATTGCTAATAAAATAATCTAAATATATTCTTTTTCCCCAGCACTCCTTTTCAACCATACATAGTTATCTATGAAAATAGAGATATGCTGGGCGCGGTAGCTCACACCTGTAATCCCAGCACTTTGGGAGGCTGAAGCAGGTGGATCAAGAGTTTGGGAGTTCGAGACCAGCCTGGCTAACCTAGTGAAACCCTATCCCCACTAAAAATACAAAATATTAGCTGGGCATGGTGGTGGGCACCTGTAATCCCAGCTATCTCAGGAGGCTGAGGCAGGAGAATCGCTTGAGCCCGGGAGACAGAGGTTGCAATGAGCTGACATCACGCCTTTGCACTCCAGCCCAGGCGACAGTACGAGACTCCGTCTCAAAAAAAAAAAAAAGATATATGAAATGACACAAAATGAGACATAAAATAATCAACATTTTCCAAAACCACATACTCTTTTCTTGTTCTCAGTGAATCCTACAGTTTCAAGGTCCAAAATACGTTTTTTCTCACTTTATAACTAAACTGATATTTTAGCATTTTTCAAAAGAAAAATATTACCAAGGGCCTTTGCCATTTTGTTAAACCTAGATTTTAAAAGTCCTGAGTTCCTATAGTCCCAGCACTTTGGGAGGCCAAGGTGGGGGGATCACAAGATCAAGAGATCGAGACCATCCTGGCCAATATGGTGAAACCCTGTCACTACTAAAAATACAAAAAATTAGCTGGGAGTGGTGGTACATCCCTGGAGTCCCAGCTACTCGGGAGGTCGAGGCAAGAGAATCACTTGAACCCGGGAGGCAGAGGTCCTGATGAGCCAAGATCGTGCCACTGCATTTGCAGCCTGGTCACAGAGTGAGACTCCGCCTCAAAAAAGCAAAAAGTCCTGGGTGATGTATGGAGACCCTGTTTCAAAAAATAAAATAAAATAAAATAAACAACAACAACAAAAGGAATAAAAAGTCCACTGTTAAACTAAAGAATATACTAAATAAAAGCCACTGTTAGGTCAGGCACAGTGGCTCATGGCTGTAATCCTAGCAGCATTTTAGGAGATCAAAGTGGGTGGATCACAAGGTCAGGAGTTTGAGAAGAGCCTGGCCAATATGGTGAAACCCCATCTGTACTTAAAATATAAAAATTAGCCAGGCGTGATGGCAGGTGCCTGTAGTCCCAGCTACTTGGGAGGCTGAGGCAGGCAGAAGAATCTCTTGAACCCAGGGAGGCAGAGGTTGTAGTGAGCCAAGATCATGCCACTGCACTCCAGCCTGGGTGACAGAGTAAGACTCCAACTTAAAAAAAAAAAAAAAAAAAAAAAAAGCAGCCAGGCCCAGTAGCTCATGCCTATAATCCCAGCACTTCGAGAGTCCGAGGTGGGCAGATCACCTGAGGTCAGGAGTTCGAAATCAGCCTGACCAATATGATGAAACCTCGTCTTTTGTCTCTATTAAAACTAAAAAAATTAGCCAGGCATGGTGTAATCCCAGCTACTCAGGAAGGCTGAGACAAGATAAGCACTTGAACCCAGGAGGCAGAGGCTGCAGTGAGCCGAGACTGCGCCACTGCAATCCAGCTTGGGCAACAAGAGCAAAACAGAAAGACAGAGGAACGAAAGAAAGAAAGAACGAATGAAAGAATGAACGAACGAATGAACGAACGAAAGGAAAAAAGACTAAAGAAAGACAGATGAAAGAAAGAAGGAAGGAAGGAAAGAAGGAAAGAAAGAGAAAGAAAGAAAGAAGGAAAGAAAGACGGAAAGACAGAAGACAGACAGACAGAAAGAAAGACGGAAAGAAAGATGGATAGACAGACAGAAAGAAAAGAGAGAAAGAAAGAAAGAAACAAAGGAAGAAAGAAAGAAAGAAAGAAAGAAAGAAAGAAAGAAAGAAAGAAAGAAAAGAAAAGCCACTGTTGAAATGAGGAAAAAATTTTCAATATTTTACTGCTAATAATAAATATAGGTTGAATATCCCTTATCTGAAATAAGGGACCAGAAGCATTTCAGCTTTTGGATTTTTGAATACCTGCATTTATATGGGCTCAGCATCCCTAAATCCGAAAATCCAAAATGCTTCAAGAAGCATTTCCTGGCCAGGCGCCATGGCTCAAGCCTGTAATCCCAGCACTTTGGGAGACCGAGGCGGGTGGATCATGAGGTCAAGAGATTGAGACCATCCTGGTCAACATGGTAAAACCCCGTCTCTACTAAAAATACAAAAAATTAGCTGGGCATGGTGGTGCGTGCCCGTAATCCCAGCTACTCAGGAGTCTGAGGCAGGAGAATTGCCTGAACCCAGGAGGCGGAGGTTGCGGTGAGCCGAGATCGCGCCATTGCACTCCAGCCTGGGTAACAAGAGCGAAACTCCGTCTCAAAAAAAAAAAAAAAAAAAAAGAAGCATTTCCTTTGATTGCCATGTTGGTGCTCAAAATAGTTTCAGATTTCAGATCTTTGGATTATGGATACTCAATATGTAGCTCTTCTGATAAAAATGTTAGGACAGAAAGTAAAAGAACTACTGCTAGAAACTGGACCAAAGTGGGCTAAGCTTTCTAGCCAAGTAAAGAAGGAAATATTAAGCATTGTCTATGGCATGCTTAAGATTTTTAGAAGTTGTTGGGGGGAAAATGCCTATTCTCACTATGAGACTAGAGAGCATGTTTACCCATGGGTTCTCACGGAGGGCAGTTAGAGATAATGAAATCATCCTTAATATCCTTACAGTAGATACTATGAGTTTCCCCAAGGCTTTTTTTTACATTCCTTACTGTTAGCCAACTGCATAATCCCAAAGCTTCAGTAAACTAAAGAAACTTACAGGGCACAACATAGGTATCCATCTCTTTGTTACAGATGTGTAAGAATGGAAAAAACTCTCCATAGATACGGTGCTTTCAGATGAGCTCTGGGACAGGGTTTGAAGAGTTCTGAGTTTGAGGTAATAACAGATAACCTTTGGCCAGTTTTATGAGTAGAGTCATGTGACTTAATATTTACTACCTCGTATCAATGTTGTGTATCTGAATAGCATTAATAAAACTAAAAGCTAGCAATTACTGTCTACTTCATGCTAGTGGCTGCTTTAAAAACACCAAAATAGGCCAGGTGTGGTGGCTCACGCCTGTAATCTCAACACTTTGGGAGGCTGAGGCAGTCGGATCATGAGGTCAGGAGTATGAGAACAGGCTGGCCAATATGGTGAAACCCCATCTCTACTAAAAATACAAAATCAGCTAGATGTGGTGGTGCATACCTGTAATCCCAGCTACTCAGGAGGCTGAGGCAGGAAAATGGCTTGAACCTGAGGGGCGGAGGTTGCAGTGAGCCAAGACTGCACCACTGCACTCCACTCTGGGTGACAGAGCGAGACTCCATCTCAAAAATAAACCCCCGACACCAAAATATTAGCTATTTTAATCTTCACTGTGACCCTAGAAAGGTAGGTAACTGTTGTTCCCATTTTACAGATGACACTACCAAAACACAAAGCCATTCTGTAAATGGCCCAGGATCACAATGCCAGATCTGTCAGTGGCAGAGCTGGGATTCCAAGCAGGCAGGTCTTGCCTAGAGCCAGTATTCTTTACCACACTTCAGATGTCTCTCATTCCACATCCAGGAGGAGGTGAAATTAGAGGAGTAGCTGCCAAAAGGACAAAGATTTTCCTCAAAAAAGTCATTCTGGGTCACTTTTTCAAGTGTCTCAAAGTTTTATGATACTGAGCATGGCCAAAGTGAACTTCAGCCTGAAAGATTAAAAATCAGGTTAAACCTCAGCCCTTAAAACACAAAACCACCCCTTAGCAGAGCACTTTACTTCCTAGAATATCCTTCAAGGTAAACTGAGATGCAGAATGTTAACTGCTTACTATCTGAATGTAACTTTTTTAAGAAAACTGATAGCCAAGCACAGTGGCTAACGCCTGTAATTCCAGCACTTTGGGAGGTATGGGGGATCACCCGAGGTCCATAGTTCTAGACCAGCCTGGTCAACATGGTGAAACCTTGTCTCTACTAAATATATAAAAAAATTAGCTGGACGTGGTTGCCTGTGATTAGCCCACGCCTGTAATCCCAGTTACTCAGGAGGGTAAGGCAGGAGACTCACTTGAACACAGGAGGCAGAGGTTGCAGTGACCCGAGATCGTGCCATTGCACTCCAGCCTAGGCAACAAAAGTGAAACTCTGTCTCAGGAATGAATGAATGAATGAATGAATGAATGAATGAAATTAGGACTAAACCAGATTGAATCTGATTTCTAACTTCTAAATTTGGGCAAACTACTAAATCTAAGCCTCAGACTTTTTGCAGTAAAATGGGAATAACAGCATCTGCCTTTACAGGACTTGTGTGAGATTAAAAGAGAAGGGAAGCTGGGCACGGTGGCTCACGCCTGTAATCCCAGCACTCTGGGAGGCCGAGGCAGGTGGATCACTTGAGATCAGGAGTTTGAAACAAGCCTGTCCAACATGGTGAAACCCCATCTTTAAAATAAAAATAAAAAGAGAAGGGAAGTCCAAAACTTAGTGCAAGGGCATGCTTAGTATTCAATATGTTATGTTATTACTTATTAAAAGAGGATCCATTTAACATTTCTCTGTGCAAGTGTAGGCATTATTTGGCATTGATACAGATCAACATTATTAACACTGTCACAGTATTCCACTTAACAGGTGTCATAATCTCCTTCTGTAAACCCCACTAATTGGTTTTGTTTTTTGGCTAGCATGGCAATTTCATCAACTGCAAGATGCATGCCAACTTTATGTTTTTGTTTTTTAAGATGTTGTTTCTCTCTTCTTCCCCAGGCAACAGTGCAATGGTGCCATCTCCACTCACTGCAACCTCTACCTCCTGAGTTCATGCAATTCTCCTGCCTTAGGCTTCCAGGCAGCTGACATTACAGGCAATGTGCCACCATGCCCAGCTAATTTTTTTGTATTTAGTAGAGTTGGGGTTTCACCATGTATTGGGATGGGTACACCACAGCAAGAGTTAAGATCAAAGTCCATCTCTATCACTCACTAGATGTGTGAACCTGAGCAAGTCTCTTAAGCTCTGAGCCTGTTTCTGCACCTATAAAATGGGGTTATGAATGCCATTCTTGGCCAGGAGTAGTGGGTCACGCCTCTAATCCCTGCACTCTAGGAGGCCAAGGCAGATGGATCACTTGACGTCAGGAGTTCAAGACCAGCCGGGCCAACATGGTGAAACCCACCTCTACCAAAAATACAAAAAATTAGCCAAGCATAGCGGCAGGTGCCTGTAACCCCAGTTACTTGGGAGGCTGAGACAGGAGAATCACTTGAACCCAGGAGGCAGAGGTTTGCAGTGAGCCGAGATTGTGCCATTGCACTCCAGCCTGGGCGACAAACCCAGGCTTTTGAGACAAAAGACGTCTCAAAAAACAAAAAACAAAAAACTTTGTACCTGTAGCTGTTCAACCATATGGTTTAGAGGTGAAACCTCAAAGATCCTGAAGGAATACTACATTTCCTTACTTATTTCTTTCTCCTAACAGGGGAAAGAGAGATCTTCAGCCAGTCTCCCAAAAAGACTTTTATATAGGAAGTGAAAGTTCATTCTCAGCACCCATTTAGAAACAGTCCATTTAGCTGACAAAATGAATATAATAAAAGGCAAGCAGATTATTTGCTTTAAGAGAGCTAAACAACAAACTGCCCTTCTCCTTATTTTTTTTTTTGAGATGGGAGCCTCCCTCTGTTGCCCAGGCTGGAACGCAGTGGTGCAATCTCAGCTCAATATAACCTCTGCCTCCTGGATTCAAGCAATTCTCCTGCCTCAGCCTCCCAAGTAGCTGGGATTACAGGTGTGCACCACCAATACCAGCTGTTTTTTGTATTTTTAGCAGAGACAGGGTTTCACCATGTTGGCTAGGCTGGTCTAAAACTCCTGACCTCAAATGATCCACATGCCTCAGCCTCCCAAAGTGTTGGGATTATAGGCGTGAGCCACCACGCCTGGCCACAAACTGCCCTCCTTCTTAAAGAGTAAATGCAATATTCTGGTTTAGTCAACAAGATTGATAAGAATTCTTACCAAAAGGCAAAGGCTGGGTGCAATGGCTCACACCTGTAATCTCAGCACTTTGGATAGAAAAATATAAATGCTTCTACAGAGTATACTGATACCAGAACTTTAAAATAGTGTGGGGGAAAAAAAAAAGAAAAACACTCTTTTATTTTTTTTTAATTTGAGATGGGGTCTTGCTTTGTTGTCCAGGTTGGGCTCCAACTCCGGGGCTCAAGCAATCTTCTTGTCTCAGCTTCATGAGAGGTGGGGCCTTAAGGCTTGCACTAGCTTACCTGGCTTTTTATTTTTTAGGTTAGGTAATTCGAACCCCTAAAATGGGACTTGTGCACTGAAACTCAGGACTTACAACTTGTGAAAACTCTAACCAACCACACTAGAGTCTGGTCTCTAGTATGGCTCTCCACTGATCTTCTCCCATTGAGAATTATAATCAAAGGACATTCTTTTCTTAGGAGACTTACTGACAGGCAGAAATCCCATGATTCTTTCTTTCAGTATCTTTCAAGCCACTCCCCTCCATTTCTAGCACAGATGTGTGACACACAACCTGATTACTTGCAACCATACAGGCTTGGGATCCCAGGCTTGGCCCCTTGCAATTCATTACACACACACACACACACACACACACACACACACCCCACTCTTTATCACTTAAAAACCTTCCAAGGCTCATGAGGTCAGGAGTTTGAGACCAGCCTGACCAACACGGTGAAACCCCGTCTTCATTTAAAAAAAAAAAAAATTATATATATATATAAAAACTAGCCAGGCATGGTGGCACGTGCTTGTAATCCCAACTACTCAGGAGGCTGAGGCAGAAGAATCTCTTGAACCTGGGAGGCAGAGGCTACAGTGAGCCGAGATCACACCACTGCATTCCAGCCTGGGCGACAGAGCCAGACTCCATCTCAGAAAACAAAAAACAAAACAAAATAAAACAAAAAACTTCCAAGGCTTCTTAAGGACCAGATTAAACTGTTACTGGGCTTTTCTCACCTTGCTCCAACTCTACCTCATTTTACACTACGTCAGTCTAGATTCTTATTCCAGCCTTTCTATCTCAAACACAACAAGCACAACTTCCATCTCCCATGAAATGTCCTCCTTCTCTTAACCTACACAACCTATTCTCCTTACAAGGTTCAGTTCAGGTCATAACTCTTGCCAGTCTGATCCTTCCTGAATGACCCTAGTGGTTACGGTGTGCAACACGACTCTAGTATTCCATCAAAAACTATTAAGAATCACTACTACAAATCACTACTAAGAATGATAGTTGTGTGATCCTGGATATATATTTAATCTCTATGGGCCACCATTTCCTCATGTGTAAAATAGTAAGTTTAACTTAAGAAATTTTTAAAAATTTTCTCCTGCTAAAAAAATTTGTATATACCACTGTGTACTCTTTCACATATTAATCTCAATTCTTTTTTTTTTGTTTTGAGACGGAGTCTTGCACTGTCACCCAGGCTGTAGTGCAGTGGCACCATCTCAGCTCACTGCAATCTCCGTCTCCTGGGTTCAAGCAATTCTCCTGCCTCAGCCTCCTGAATAGTTGTGACTACAGGCGTGCACCACCACGCCCAGCTAATTTTTTTGTATATTTAGTAGAGACGGGATTTTATCATGTTGGCCAGGATGATCTCAGTCTCCTGACCTCCAGATCCGCCCGCCTCAGCCTCCCAAAGTACTGGGATTACAGACGTGAGCCACCGCACCCGGCCTTAATCTCAATTTTCTTACTTGTACATCTTATATTTTTCTCTCAACTCTCAAAGCAACTTACCCCAGGACCCGGCTCAAGAGATGCTCAGTGAGTGTGACAATGAAATAGGCCAGGCAGTGTTGAGACAGAGGATGCTTTGAAGATCTGAATGTGAACTCAAGACCTGTTTTTAAAGTAGTTTAAGAAACTGGTGGCTGGGCACGGTGGCTCACGCCTGTAATCCTAACACTTTGGGGGCTGAGGTGGGCGGATCATGAGGTCAACATAGCACAACCCTGTCTTTACTAAAAATACAAAAATTAGCTGGGCGTGGGGGCACACACCTGTAGTCCCAGCTACTCAGGAGGCTGAGGCAGGAGAATTGCTTGAACCCGGGAGGCAGAGGTTGCAGTGGGCCGAGATCGCACCATTGCACTCCAGCCTGGCACCTGGCAACACCGCAAGACTCTGTCTCAAAAAAAAAAAAAGAAACTGGTAAAGGTAGTTCATACCAGAGAGGGTAGAACACACCTAGATGATCCAGGGCTGGCTCTTCACTAGAGCTGAAGAAAGCAAGTAGCTTGCTCTAGAATGGAATGAGTACAGATCTGAGAGCTCAAAATGGTCTCTTAATTCCTATGCAGCACAATTTGAAGTACATATACATAAGCCCCTAAATGGCAGCTGACACTCCTAGGTAAGCTCATCCAATTTTACGTGCTCTAGTGTAGACTATTTAGGGGTCTTGTCAGTGGAGAACCTCTGGGATTATTTCAAGCCTGCCCTACCATGGTGGGGGAATTCTGATTTATTCCAACCACACTAGGCCTGAAACCTGCAGTGAAAGAGCAAGTCCTCCTATTTTACATCCCAGTGTCCTCTCCCTCCCCCACCCAAGAAGAACATAAGCTTTTATGAGAGAGAGAAACAAAGGCAGATATATTGAAGCATTCAACTCCATTTTAGGCTTCCAATAAAATGCTTTATTTTTTCCCCCTTTTCTCAGGACAGTAACAGGTCAATGTGTATACAGAAAGTAGGGAAGGGGTCTGCTGGAGGAGAGGAGTCACCATTTTTAACTAAAAGTTAATCAGGAACTCCAAGACAGGAGAAGATGTAATCCTTCTGAACTATAGTCAGAAGGTGAAGGTTAAGTCCCTATTTCATTAACTTGAAATGAAACTTACTCAATAACCATATGCACATCTCCTTTATCAGGAGAGCACATATATGTGCCTATTTCAATCAAATTGTCAATGCTATTCCAGCAACTTTTAAAACTGTTTTCGCTTACAACTAATACCCTCAAGACTTAACAAATTAAAGCTATTCAAATGAAGCCAGTTTACTCCCTGAAAAATCAAATGAGGAAAACCCCATTTTTTTAACTAACAGCTTTTAAGAATGTATGTCCCTCCTCTTCACCCAGCCATTTCACACCGTTATGAGACAAAGGGCAACTACTGTATTGTCACTCTTTTTTTTCTTTTGGAGTAAAGCCACAACGTTACTAACAAACAGCTAATGGCCACCGTTCAAAAGCAGTAATGGCATTATGACTTCATATCTCAGTTATCTACCAAATTGAAAAGAACCACATATACGTATTTTTCTCTCCCCTCAAAGAAAATCTGAAAGTAAATGTGAGTATTCTAATTCACTTTCTCCTCCATATTAAACATTTCTGAGGGAATGTTAAACAATATCTTCTTCCCTAATAATAGCATGGGAGAGATGGTTTTTACACTTGTGGCAGAGTTTACTAATTTAAGTTACAAGAATTTATAAACTGTTCATGATCTAGGTCTAGGACAAATTCCAAAGACAGAAATCAGGGAAAGTTCTTGTTTAAAAATTCTTAGAGACTGCATGTGCATGCCCCTAGTTTTAATTTGTTGCTTCAGTGCTTAACATGCAATGGGACAGATTTTGAGAAAAACAGAAACTGCCGCCCTCAGGTTCAAGTTTCTAAGGTAAACTTATGAAGAAGCTGGCTCTAGAATGTATCAAAAACAAAAAACAAAATACTAGCCCAAAAGGGCTTTTGTACAGGCTATAAATGTGGGCATTTGAGTAGCCCATCTTCTACCATCACAAGTGGATTATCTGCAGGAACTAGTAATCACCTACAGAAACATCAAATTACCTCTCCCATACACCACTGAAACTGAGCAATTTTGTAGTCTAAGTTAACTTTGCCCTGATTTCTAGCTGTCCAAGAAAGCAGAAATCTACAGCTGGTTCCATCTGCTTTCTGACAATTTAGTGTTGACTTTGAGAACACCTGGGAAAAGTGTGCTGTCACAAACCCAGCTTTAAAATGAATACACAGACACAAAGTTTTCTTCTCTTTAAAGGGCTCTGTAGCATCATCTTCTATGAGACTCAACCTACATTTCTAACATTAAGAAATTACCGGGCAAAAAAAAAAAAAAAAAAGAAATTACTGGGCAGTTAACCTTCAGAGTAGAACTCTATGACACCTTGGGCAATGAGGGCAAAATAGTGACTATCAGTATGTCCACATAACTTAAAAGTAAAAAAACCTCAAGTCCTTTTAAAAGAACCATGTTTCTACATCTTCACTTTCTTTCTCTTTATAAAATGCTAAGAATTTCATTCAGGAGTAGAAAACAAATGAGTGGCAAATTCCAACAAAAAGTCTAAGGCTCAGAAGGAAAAATGTCAAAACTTAAGACACAGGGAACATACAAACATTAAACTCCAGGCTTCCCTCTTTTAAAGTTAAGATGCTCTTTGATAACACTCATCCTTATTAAAATAAATTACACATCCAAAAGGGCAAACTGCTCCAGTCAATTGGGTAAACAACATAATTAACATGTGCTGGGGGAGAGCGAATCCTCACATAAATAGTGGGGCTCAAAATAAGCTGTGCACTGTATAGAAGCTGATTTTTAAACTGTCAGCAGGTTTCTTTTCGTGCAATTAAAGTTTAATACAGGGTAACTGCTCCTCAAGTTTCTCTTAAGAAAGTCAAAATCTGACTTGTACAATAGCAAGTTGCACCTTATTATTGAGAACTCCATTTGTTTTTTTCACAAATAATAAAAATACACTGAGGTTCTTTAATGAGTTTTGGTATGTACTTCTAACAATCTCTCTAAACTGGGAAAATCGCTAACCTACCAAAATCATATCCAGAATGCAAACTCTTTTGGCTATGTAAAATAAGACTAACTGAATGAAAGCTTTTACATAAATACTTTAAGTCTAGGTCTTTTTAAAAAAATGCTAATAAAACTCAACAGGGCAGACCAATCTACTCATATACTTCCTTTCCACAATCACATTAAACTTTGACTTTACTTGAAATACTACCAGTATCAATAGACAAATACTTGAAGTATTCACACAAAGGTAGTTAAAGACCACACATCACACCAACTCACTTAAGTCATATTTAGTATCCTACTCAGCATGTATCTCAAGCTCTCCAGATCAAATATGATGGTAAATGTTAAAAGTGTACAATGAAAAACAAAGCTTCTTTGTGTACATTCAGGGCGAAAGAAGGTGGATGAGCATAAGGAGAGCGATCTCAGCATTGTGCTCGGCATCAGCACTTACCTTGAGGATGTCCCCCCTTTTGAAGCTCAGCTCGTCGTCTGCAGTAGCTTTGAAGTCATATTTGGCGATGGCTTCCATTCTGAGCGCTGCTCAGTGCTCAGCAGCCTGAAACGGGGGAGTCTTCCCTGCTGAAGCAACCCAGCACTCTGGGCTTAGCGTCGCCTCTCTTCTGGGACTCTCTCCGGCACTCTGGGACACACAATGCCACCCTGAAGCAGAAGGGGGACGATTAAGAGAAGTGACCAGGATTGAAGGCAACCCCGCCCTGCCAATTGGCCTGCGGTCCCAGCCCCCACGCCCCCTGACTCGGCCTGGCTCAGCCCTCCTCCCTCCCTTCCAGGCAACAGCCCCCTCCACTTCTTCCTCTTTTCAGCCTCAGCCCCCAGGCGACTGACAGGCCTACTGGCCAATGGCGCAGCTGCCTGAGCTATTCCTGAACATACTTCCTCTTCCTTCCCGCTGGGTGTGAGCTGCGTGCAGGAACCGGCTGGAGTCCCGTTCAGTCTCCGCCTTTTCTCCTTCACTCCTCACAGGCTCTTCTCCAGCACCAAATACGGTCCACTGAAAGGAAGGCCTCACCCTGGGGATGGTACCTGTCTTCTCCTCGGTTAAACAGGCCTGTCTCCCTCCCTTCCCTCTGCCATCCTTTCTGGTCTTCTGAGAATGCTGGCTCCCATATTCCACAGTCAAAAGCAAGTAAATAAAGCAAGACTCTGGTCTCGAGCTGCTGCACTCTTCTCGAAACTAAACCATGGTCTGCTCCCAGGAGAGCAGAAGAAAGTAAACGTAGGAACTGCTTTTTCAATCCATTTACTGCTAGGAGCACCAGCAGCTTTCCCCCAGCACTTCCCCGATGTGACAGGCAAGCTCAGGTAATGAGAGAAAGACCACAGCTCCGAGCAGTGTGCCGGTGCAAATGGTAGGAACGTCGCTCTTGCATAAGGCTCCCTTTCCCCTGGAGACCCCCAAGACTCTGGGGTCCCCACCAGGCCTTGAAATAAATGACCAAGGCTCAGCACTCCAGAAACAGCTCCATATTATTTCTTACTAGCCTAAGGAGCAGAGCTGAAGTCCTAATCTACACTTGAAAGGAATCTGTTTTTCAGAATCTGAGCTGCCAAGTATCTTGTTTTGGGAAACAAAGTGCAGGGAGATGTTGCCCGAAGAAAGTCAAACTGAAGTCTCTCTCAGTCACCCTGAGCACAGCTTCTTAGAGCAAGAAGAGCATATAAAACTGATGTAAACTGCATTTTGCAGGTAAAAAAGATTCTGAGAGAACCCTGAGAAAGTGTATCAGGCAATGAGGAACTGGCAGCAGTACAATAACTGGTGTAGCGAAGCGTCTCCAGCCATGAATATAGGACACAACCTAGATCTTTGAATAACTAAAGAAAAATAAAATACCCGTCTGGTTAGCTCGGTCACTGTTTTCATACTTGCTAAACAAAAGCAGAAAACAGCAGAACTGGGACAGGTTATTTATAGTGACACCTTTCTTAGATAATTACAACCTAGCAGCTCATTTGAGGGGCATAAGTGATTATTATTCTTTTGTTCTAAAGTTAACAATTGGGGCACTAATCAAGCATAGCTGCAAATGGACCAAGCAACAAACCAGTGGGGAATATTAAGATTAGACCAAGATAAGTACTATAAAAAAGAAAATAAATCCTCTGATAATGAGTCCTTCAGTCAAATTCTGAAAGCCAAACATTCTGCTGCAGGTAACTAATAAACCAAACAATGTTTATTCCTTCAGGCTGTACCCAAGATATTCCATGTGGTGCTGGCTATAACAGGGGAAAGTAAAGAAAGAGTCCCAGCAAATATTAAAAAATACAGAGGTTGATCTGAGAGTATTTTTGTGTATCCTTAAATGCCCTTCACTTACACTCTGTGTAGTTATTTTGATCAAACTAATCCATATACATAATTTTAAAAGTCAGAGTATTAAAAGGCTTATGAGAAATGCTCCCGAACAACACCCATAGGCAATCACTCTCAATTTTGTTTTTTGCTTTCTCTTTGTGTTTACCTAGAGCATTTCTTTTTTTTTCTTTTTTTTTTTAATTTTGTGGTCAATGTACAAAACGGATAGAGTATTTCTTTTTTTTTTTTGAGACAGAGTTTTGCTCTTGTTACCCAGGCTGGAGTGCAATGGCACGATCTCGGCTCACTGCAACCTCCGCCTCCTGGGTTCAGGCAATTCTCCTGCCTCAGCCTCCTGAGTAGCTGGGATTACAGGCACCCGCCACCATGCCCAGCTAATTTTTGTATTTTTAGTAGAGATGGGGTTTCACCATGTTGACAAGGATGGTCTCAATCTCTTGACCTTGTGATCCACCGTGCCCGGCCTTTTTTTATTTTTATTTTTTATTTTGAGACGGAGTTCCGCTCTTGTTACCCAGGCTAGAGTGCAATGGCGTGATCCCAGCTCACCGCAACCTCCGCCTCCTGGGTTCAAGCAATTCTCCTGCCTCAGCCTCCCGAGTAGCTGGGATTACAGGCACACGCCACCATGCCCAGCTAATTTTTGTATTTTTAGTAGATGGGGTTTCACCTTGTTGACCAGGATGGTCTCAATCTCTTGACCTCGTGATCCACCTGCCTCGGCCTCCCAAAGTGATGGGATTATAGCCATGAGCCACCGCGCCCGCCCAGCCCTGATAGAGTATTTCTAAAGTTTGTGCTTTCACTGCTTTCTTAGTTTATTCCAGCCATTATCTATTGCCTGAAAGGTGAAGATGTAGCTGCTCCACCAGCCAGTTTTCCCCTGCCTTATCCCAGTAATATCACATATTCTGGTTTAATCAGTGGTATTATTATAAAATACTATTCAATGATAATTTAAGTAATGCACTACAACCAATCATACTTTTACTTTTTTGAGATAGAGTCTCTATTGCCCAGGCTGGAGTGCAGTGGTGCGATCTTGGCTTATTGCAACCTACACCTCCCAGGTTCAAGTGATCCTCCTACCTCGGCCTGTAGCTGGGACTACAGGCACATGCCAACATGACTGGCTGCTTTTTATATTTTTAGTAGAGATGGAGTTTCACCATGTTGGCCAGGGTGGTCTTGAACTCCTGGCCTCAAGTGATTTGCCCTCCTTGGCCTCCCAAAGTGCTGGGATTGTAAGCAGGAGCCACTGTGCCCAGCCCAATCATACTTTTTTGTACAGTCCTTCAATTTTCCCCAGCATTAGCAACTGCTTAGTGTTGTTTTTATTCCCCTGTGTATCTACTTACACTTTTTCTTTTCTCTCGCTCTTTTTTTTTTGACAGGGTCTTGCGCTGCTGCCCAGGCACAAGTACGGTGGCATGGTCATGGCTTACTGCACCTTTGACCTCCTTGGCTCAAGCAATCTTCATACCTCAGCTTCCCAAGTAGCTGGAACTACAAGCGTGAGCCACTATGCCTGGCTACTTTTTGTATTTTTTGTACAGAAGGGTCTCATTATGTGAGACCCCGTCCAGTACAGTTAGTGTTGAATCTGCATGGTCTCTAGAGGCAGGCCCCTCACACTAACAGCTACAATTCTGGGCAAACGGAGCTTTTCTCATCTGTAAAAGACCAAGGCTGGTCTCAAACTCCTGGCCTCACGCAGTCCTCCTGCCTCAGCCTCCTAAAATGCTGGCATTACAACTGAGAGAGTAAGCCACCATGCCAAGCCCTGTTTCCCCCCCCCCGCCAGAGACACAGTTTCACCCTTTTGGTTAGGATGGTCTCAATCTCTTGACCTTGTGATCCTCCTGCCTTGGCCTCCCTAAGTGCTGGGATTACAGGCGTGAGCCACTGTGCCCGGCCGCCCAGCCCTATTTTTACTTTTAACGAATGCTCCAAACTCTCTGCTACATGCTATCGATACTTTCCTCAGCCTATTTATTTAACTGGTCTCTATTGCTGAAACTATGTGTTAGTAATAGAAGCTAAAGAATATTTGAAATAATATAAAAATAATAAGGAGTTTTATTTTTGAAAAACAGAAATCGGATAGAAACCCAAAAGCCCTGTCACTATCAAGGTGCTATGTAGTAAGACCAGCCATAAGTTTCTATGTCATTCCAGATTTAAGACAGCTGCATTGTTAACAGCAATAGCACAAAAACCAAGACAGTTCTCAACACCTTCTTTCCTGCTGCTACTCAGCTCATCTGCTGAGAGAAAGCTTAAAAAGAATAACCTTATTTTTTTGGGGGGGGGACGGAGTTTTGTTCTTGTTACCCAGCCTGTAGTGCAATGGCACGATCTCGGCTCACTGCAACCTCCACCTCCTGGGTTCAAGCAATTCTCCCGCCTCAGCCTCCTGAGTAGCTGGGATTACAGGCACACGCCACCATGCCCAGCTAATTTTTTGTATTTTTAGTAGAGACGGGGTTTCACCATGTTGACCAGGATAGTCTCGATCTCTTGACCTCACGATCCACCCGCCTTGGCCTCCCAAAGTGCTGGGATTACAGGCTTGAGCCACCGTGCCCGGCAAGAATAACCTTCTTAAAAATCGTGTTTCGAGTAACTATTGCTTTGTGAGATGCAGAGTTTGACAGAAAATTAAATCCCTGCTTCCATGGCTGTGCTGAGTAAAAAAACAGAAAACTCTAAGAGAAAAGTTTATTAGGTTATCCGCACAAAAGAGCGTATTTACTAAAGGAATTCAAAAAGGTGTGTTTCAGTAAATGCAGAAGAAAAAATCTAACACACAACACTATTACTAAAAGGAAGAAATGTGAAAGCAGACACAATGTATAGTGATTTTAACTGAGTAAATGTTGCTGTTCACTTCCCAAGAAAATGGGGTATAGTGTACTAAACACTGAAGCCTAAGAATAACCTCAAAACTGTTACCAGCCCATCCCAAGCAGTGAATTTTAAGCATAGCTTTATTTATTTCAAACACTATGAACTGTATCCAAAAAACTATCCTAAAGGTATTTGTAAGATTTTTTTCTTTCTTCCATTTAACTCTCTTCTTCCCAAAATTCACAGAAAATACA